GACGACGACGACGACGACGACGACGACGACTACTACTACTACTACGACTACTACTACTACTAGTACCACTGCTACGGCTACCACTACCACTACAGAAACGACTACCACTTCCACTACACCTACTACTGCTACTACGACTACTACTACTACTACTACTACTACTATTATTTCTACTACTACTACTACTACTACTACTACTACTACTACTACTATTGATACTACTAGTACTATTACTACTACTACTGGTCTACATCCAGTAGGTTCGTGCACCTGGTGGCGAGGGGTGGCCCCGAGGACTTCGGCCTCTTCGCCAGGGGCCCCGAGACCGCCGCCCGGCAGAGCGCCAGCGCGAGCGCGGTCGTCGCGGGCGCCGCCGCGCCCTGGCTCGAGCTCGGTGGCAAGGAGAAAGCTCGCGTCCACGAGAGCGAGATCTACGCCGCATGCATCGAGAGACGCATCCAGAATCTCCGCCGCAAGCGCCGCGAGACGCAGGCCGAGGAGGACAAGGCGGCCTTCGAGGCCGAGATGGCCAAGCACTTGGCAGCGCACCCCGACCGGAAGGAGCAAGTGGACCAAGCCTACTCGAGCGCAGGGGGCTCGCACAGGATCACCCTCATCAACATCTCCGCAGCCGAGGGCTGGTTCGACCCGAGCAGGGGGCCCAAGCCCGCCAGGAAGCGCAGCGTGCTCCTCGCCCCCATGCGCGGGGAACTGCCGAGTGAGCGACGTGAACCTCGAGGAGGGCACCCGGCGGCGCGACGTCACCTGCGAGCGGGGCGACGGCGAGACGAAGCGCTTCCGCGCAGGGGAGCCCCTAGGGGCATTGCTCAAGGGCCGGCGCAACGCTCTGCTCGAGTTCTCCGAGGAGGAATGCGCGAGGGTCTTCGAGGCCATCGACGTGTTGGGGCAGCCCGGGGCCTGGGCGGACGAGCGCGTCTCTTCCTGGGCCGTCGATTTCGTCGAGCAGCAGCGCGGCAAGGGCCTCGCGTTCTCAGGCGGCTGGCTTTCGAGCCAGTGGGCCGAGGCAGTGGCGCTCCGAGCGTGGCTCGAGAACGTGGCCCACGCGCCCGTGGCCCCCGACGTCGCGAGCTTCTTGCAGGGGCCGGGCGCCCGCGAGCACGGTCGGGCCAAGGCCGTGATTCGAGAGGCCAAGGCCGAGATGCATTGGGCCGTGGAGCGGGGCTGGATCCAGCAGGCCAGGGCCGAGCCCCAGATGCAGCGCAAATCCCCGACCCACTGGGGGCCCTGCGAGCGTCTCTACTGCGACTCCGAGGCCTGCGCCCGCTTCCGCGAGAAGAACAAGGGCGCGGTGCCGCTCCGAGGGCTGCGCGCGAACCAAGCGCTCGCGGCCCGGCCGACAGGGCAGGGCGAGCCCACGGTCGTCACGGGCATGGGGCCGCGGAGCTACTCCGTCGAGCCCGGCCGCGGCGTCGAGCAGAGCCTGGCGAGCGAGCGCCCGGGGGGCGCGCGGAGGTGGCCTGAGGGCGCGCCGCCCGTGCCCGAGTGGAGCGTCCTCGACGGGAATTGCTTCCACCAGGGCGGCTTGCCCAAGGACTGCGGGCGGGGCGAGAACCCCTGCCTCCTATGAGCTCCGAGAACTGGACCTCGAGATCACCGACGAGCAGAAGGGCATGATCAGAGCGCTAAGAAGAGCGGATTAAGGAGATCCAGTTCCCGCGCGCCCTCGAGACCCGACTCGAGGTGGCGCGAACAAGTGGGCGCGCGAGCAGGTGGGCGCCCGAATTCTCAAGCCAGTTTCTGGGCAAGCTGCAGCGCGGGCGGCGGCGCGCGAAGGTCGAGACTGGCGGCGAGGCCTCGCTCGAGCACTTGGGCCGAGGCGTGGCCGCGGCGAAGCTCGCAGGCAGGGCGCCGAAGGCCAAGGCGAGCTTCTCCCAGAAGTTCAAGACCAAGACGCAAGCGAAGAAGAGCGCCAAGAAGAAAGCGAATACCAAGGGCAAAACAGGCCTCGAGGCTTGCGAGGACCCCCTCGGCACGGCAAGGCGGCCCGCGTCGCCGAGAGGGGGATCCGCGAGGGCAGGCGCGGCAGAGCGCAGGGCGTCTGGCGAGCCCTGGGCACCGAGGGCGCGCCTGCGCGCCCACGAGACCGCGGCGATCTCCCAGGCCGAGAGCAGCGAGGCTCGGAGGCCCACGGGCACTCGCTTGCTTCCGCCTGCTTCCGCCCGAGGCGGCGGGCGCGACCGGGGGCTTGCTGTCGCGGCGGAAGCGACGGCGGAAGCGGCGGAAGTTGGCGGAAAGTTGGCGGCGGAAGCGACGGCGGAACCTTGAAGCCACGCAGCGGAAGCAGGCGGAAGCTAACGAGTGCACGATCGAGCAGGGCCACAAGTCCCCCGAGCTGCACAAGCTCGACTGGCGCCAGGCCAAACTGGCTCGCCGCACCGAGCTCGCCAAGGAGTACGCGATCATGAACTGCGAGCCGATCGTCAAGGGCGACGCCCTCGAGCTGGGCACAGTGCGCGCGCTGCTGGGCGAGATCGAGGGCCCCCGGGGCCGTTCTTGCGGCCGAGCCCGCGGCGGCCGTCGCCTGGGCTCGAGAGGGCCAGGGCGAGGACGAACCCGCCGCCCAGCAGCCCGAGGAGCAGAAGCGCTGGGCCGAGAGAGTCCACAAGGCCGAGCGCGTCCTTATCTGCGCGCACTCATAGTTGCCCGCGCACTACACCTACCTCAGGGCCGGTGGTTGCCACAGTTGTCCCTGCCCCAAGGTGCCTCCAGTTTGTCGCTCCGTTTTGGAGCGACTGCTGGAGGCGCCCAGGGCATGGGGGCACATGTAGCAGCGCCCGCCAAGGTCTCGAGGATCGGCGGGAGCGTCGCGGCGGAGTGCCGCGACGCCCTCAAGCAGCCGTCCGAGAATGCCATGCTGGCCTAAAGGGCCGCATGCGAACTCACGCCTGCACCCCGCGATTTCTGAGGGGGGAGGTAGGGGCCACTTTGCTCGGGGGCCTGCCGAACGAAGTGAACCCCGCCCTCCTCTCCAGAAGCCGCAGGTAGGGTTCGCGCGTGGCCTCCTCGGGCCGCCGCGAGGATCCTCGGCGAGCTCGGCGCCGTTGGCCCTGGCAAGACCTGCCCTGCGAGGAGCAGCGAGACGTTTCAGGCCGACGCCTTGTCCGACGGCCTGTGGGCGAGTCGCTGGATCGAGCGCGCCCTGCGCGAGATCCGAGGCGAGGGCCGCCAAGCGCCCGCGAGCATCAACGCGATGTGCGCCCGAGGCAACGAGTGGATCAATATGCTCAAGGAGGCCAGCGACCAAGGCCGAGGCAAAGGCCAAGGCCCAGAGCAAGGCCAAGTCCAAACCCTCCAAGGACACCGCGGCGGTCGAGCCGAAGCACGCCACCTCCGAGGAGGCGAGCGCTGCCGCCCAGGCCCGCACCAATCGCCCCCCGTGCAAGCGCGGGTCCAAAGGATGCCGAGCCTTCGTGGGCGAGTGGTTCGAGGTCGTGCGCGAGAGAGGTTCGTTGGCCAGGCGCGCCAAGGACCTCTCTTGCGCAGGCAAGTTGTAGCCGCGAGATTCGAGATCTCTCGGGTGTTTGTCTTGCGCCAAGATCTAGAAGGTCAGTCTACCACGAGCGCCCAGGATCATCATCACCATCATCATCATCATCAGCATCATCATCATCATCACCCTCGCCGGGAAAATCGTTGAGTGTCCCCGCCAGACCCCTGAACTTCTTTCTCCCTGGGGGACTACGATCGGAAGCGCAGGGCTAGGACAATAATCCGCTCCCCTCATCCACCTCCGCCCCTTCCTTTTCGCCCCCCCCCTCCCTCGTCGCTTTCGTCCTCCCACTCCTTTCTCCCGTCCCTCTTCGCCTTCCTCCTGCTCCCGTTTCTCTTCTTGCTCATCCACGCCGCGCCGGTTTTAGGCGAACGGCTACGCACACGAGTTGCAACGAGCCAAAGCAAGCCCGCGCCCAGGCCCGCGCCTGTGCCCGCGCTTGCGCACGCGAGCGCGTTTTTGCGCCCGTGCCCGCGCCTTCGCCCGCGCCCGCGCCCGCGCCCGGACGCGCGCCAGACTTTCCGGTTTCCTGGCTGCAAGGCTGATCGGCCCAGGCTGACCGGGCGGAGCCAAGCCTCCCTCGAAGAATCCGGGGCGGCAAAGAGGGGGGTGATGACCAGGGGGGGGGGGGCGGATATCACGGCGGGGGCCACGAAATCTCCCCAGTTTTCATGGCGCCTCTTCTTAGTTCAATACGTCCCCGGCCCCCCCCCGCGGGCCGCGCACATGCCGCCGGCCATGATTTGCGCCCCCCCTTTTGGGCGCCCCCCTTTCATCCGCCCCCGATAAAATCGGGAGTGGCCCCCCCCGCCCCGGGGAAACCGATCGGCATCACCCAACCATGCCTGTACGATGTGTGCTTCGCCCCCCCAGAGGCGACGCACGCGCTCAGAAGTCTTACGCTACTTGCTCGGCGGCGGGCGCTTGTTGGCCAAACCCCCTATTGGCAACCAGGTTAGAATCTGTTTGTACTACATGTTCGTTTCTGGTCTGCGCCTCCTAAGACCGGAGGGTTCCAAAGGAGGGTTTTGGGGAGGGGGTTTTCCAGAGAACCCCCCAAGGGCCTCGAAACCTCGTCAAAACAGGGGGTGCGAAACCCCTGGGGGCCCTTCCTGGAAAACCCCCTCCCCCCACCCCCCTTTTGGAACCCTCCGGTGGGAGGGCAAATCATACCAATACATCCTTCCGCGTTCCAGCCGAGCGCGGGGCGAGAGGTCTTTCGGTACCCTCGCGGCGCCTCGCAGCCAGGGCGCCTCGCGGAGAGTCGCGCGTTGGGGACGCGACTCCGGGGAATGCAGTGGCGCCCCGCGCGCTTTCGGCCAGTCTGCGCGGAGTCCTCAGGGGAACCCGCCCTCCAATTAAGGGGGGCACGCTCTACAGGAGGAAGATCCAAGACTGGACAAATAGTCTGGTGACGCTTTGTTCGTGCTCTTTTGACTATTTTTGATTTTTGTCGCGACATGTTTTGAATTTCAATATCCGCCTGTAGGAGGACATGCCCGACCCTACCCTGCCGGACTGGGCGGCGATCCTGGAGGGGCCCCATCGGGACCCCCGCGGAAGGGGGGTGGGGCAGGCGGCAGGCGGCCTCAGCGTTGCTGCCGGAGGCTCTTCGCTACCTGAGCTCTTACACGCCAGTTCTTGAAAGTAGGCATATCAGGATTCCCAGATAACAATCTGCTTCAAGCGCCTTCCTACTTCAAGAATCGATATGTTTTCTTTTGTGTGCGGTGCTCTGTCATTATTTGGGAGGGCCTGGACCCAATCTACTTCATCCGCCTTCCTACTTCACGTTCTTACTACTTCTTCCGATCGGCGTGCATGCGCGCCTCAGATGTTCGTGCTCGGCAAGAATCCCTCGCTCGGGGCTCCCCACCCCCGCCCGCATCCTCGATCCTTCGGCGTCCATCCTTCCCGTTCCCTCCGCCCTCCTCGGCCCCCTCCCTCCTCCCTCTGGGGCGATGTATGGCGCTTCGTTGGAGCCACGTGGCTCTTGGATTCATGATTGACAGCACTGTCAGCGATAGGTGCAAGCGATTGCCCTGTGTACTGAAGTGGATGGTTGGCCACTACTTCGAGCTGGAGGTACAGCCCTGGACAGATATGTGCAATTGCCGCGATCGAGGATGGTATGGTGTGAAGACGTAGTTGATGCCAATTCTGGGCAAGATCGTGGAGTATCCGTTGCGCAAACGGTTATTGCTTGCGCTGGGAGGCTGTTGGTTTGCCCATCTGCTTCCAATTTGATGCAGATAAGGCTACCGAATGTATGGGAACAGGTTTTGGGCCTTCCCAGCATTTTTCAAAACTGAGCTGCCACTGTAATGCGTTGATCCGCCAGGGAGCGTTTTTGCCATTGACTGCAGTGTGTTGTGCCTTCGTGCTGATAGTATCGATAATGCATGCGCTGCTTACTGGAACCCCACCGCACACATCTTTGAGGCAAATGAGACAAGTACTTAATCACAAACGAGTGCGGCCATATCGGGTGGCTTAGTTAACTGACTGCAGCGTCATGTCTTCTGGGAATTGATGCTCGGTGCGATGTTGTTCAAGGTTGCCAACATGTTGCAGACGCAGCAACTGGTTCAGTATGCTGCGGGCGCGTTGGGGGTAGCTGTGGTGAGCAGCGACTCCTCCGTGAGGGCGCGATCGTGCTCAGCACGCGAGTTCCAGTCCTGACAGTAATAGCCACGCGTGGTTTTCATTTTGGTTGGTTTTGATACCACGCTAGATCCTCGACAGTTTCGGTGTCGGGCTTTGGCACCCAATGCCGGTGTTGACAGTGAACCACATATCTGCAAACGAAGGCTGCTTCAGCCAAGAAATGGGTTGCACATTGGGGGCGTTCTGTTTCGGCGCCGTTGTGAGTTCCATTATCGCTGGCCAGGTTGCTACTGCAGTCGGTGGGGCATCTGGCTTGCGTTATGTAGCGCTAGTGTTTTCCAAGGCTGCCACGGCTATTGCTCTCCCATCGAAGACGCAGGGGATGGAGTCTGGCGATAGTTGCGGTTCATCTCTGTCGAAATCGACCAGTTCTGAGTGAGGGACGCTTCAGTTTGTCGCGTTGCCTGCAGTGAGACTGTATCGCGCAAACGGTTGTCCCTTTTCAAGGCCGCGGCATGAGTTGATTTGCATTTCACCTCCAATATGCTCATACCCAGATTTTCGGTCTTGACGGGCGGATGGTGATGCCGACTTGGACATTCAATGCATTCTCGCATCCGCATTTCACATGTGGAAAATAACATCTCCTCGCTGTTGAAGCCCAGGGAGGGTGGCGAGCTGGCGGCGGCCGTCAGAAGTGCAGCTCGCCGTTCCCAGCTGCCCCCGTCTGTCCGTCCTGCTCCTCCTCCTCTTCCTCCTCCCCTCCACCGTCACAACTTGTTGTGTGTTGCACAGTTTCATGACATGTTGTATGTCTCGCAGTTCCAATGCATGCCTGTATGTCTACAGGAGGCCATGGCCTCACCCACCTGGTCTTAGCAGGCCCGGACAGCTGTCCGATGCGGCGGGTCGCTCGCTCGTTCCAGCTGCCCCCGAGTGGCTGCCTGGAGGGACGTGCGAGCTTGCCGGCGGGCAAGACCCCCGGTCTCCCTCGGCACGCCCGTCGGTGGTTCAAAGGTGGGGTCCTGAGGGATGGGGTCTTGAGGGCGAGGTGCCTCAAACCATGTAGCTTTGATCTTCGCGTGCCACTCGCGCAGCGTGTTGCACGCATGGTGAAAGCGCATACGATAACCGCAGTATGTGTATGTGTTCGCGTGCGTGCGCAGGGAGTGTCTATGGTACATGCGTGCGTGCGCGTCGGGGTAAGGGGCATTCATTGTACACGCGTGCAAGTTCGGCAGGCCAGGAGCCCTGCAGAGCCATTCGGGCGCGCACGCGCCCACCCAGGCACGGGCCTGAGGGCGCAGGGTCGGCGGCGAGGGCACGGGCCCCGACCGCGATCCCAGCGGCCGCCCAGGCACGGGCCTGGGCTGGGGTGGCCTTAAGGGGAATCCTAGAATACCTGGGCGCAGGAGGAGGAGGGCGTGGGCGGCGGGAAGAAGAAGGAACGGGAGGAAGGAGGAGAAGGAGGAGGGCCTCCAACGCAATGCCCTCAACAACAGGGCCCTATGATGGCCCCAAGAAGAAGAGGCCTACAAGACGCTCCCAATTCTTCTTCTCGATGGTACCACTCAATGCGATGATTTGCTAGAGCGGGAATTCGCGAAGCAGCCCCCCGCCGTCCCTCCTCCTGCTGCTGAGGGCGGCGCGCGGAGCGCGGTGCCATCTACGCGTCGGTCGGGGGGGTGTAGGGTGCGCATACATACATGCATACATATATATGTATATATATATGTGTATACATATATATATATAACATATATATATATGTGTATACATATGTATTTATATGTGTATATATGTCCATATATATGTATGTATGTGTATATATATATATATTCACACACGTGTGTATACATTATATGTATATATATACACAAGACTGCAGTGGCGCTTGGCGCCACTGCACCTGGGTTTTTGAAGTTTGGTACGCAGGCGGAATAATAATAGCAGGAAGGTCGATCCGACAATGTAACGATAACTCTTTGTTGCCTTTTCTGGTATCGCCGCTATAATAATGTTATTCGCTATCCTTCCTCCAATGTATATGTTTTGTCATTTTCGCAATGCCCTGCGCATTCTCCCCATCCTCCTCGGCTCTTTTTGCGTAGTAGGCTCCTCCTTGGAGAGCCTCTGTGGGCTTCGCAAAAGTTATGTCAAACTTTCTTAAGGCCGTCTGGAGGCCTCTTGGGCTTCCTCCTCGGGTCGCCCTGCCTCCAACCACCGCGGTCCCCCTGAACGACTGGGTCACGATTTGGAATGCTTCGGAGGGTGTCGTCTTGGGGCCATCTTGGGCCGCCATGGGGCTCTCCGAGGGCCATCTTGGACCCCTGTTGTGCCGTTTTCGGGCTCTCTTGGACTGCCTGGAAGCCCTTTGGAATGGTTCTGGGGCGATTTTAGAGCCTCCCCCAGGCGGCTTCGATCAGAAATGTACCAAAAACGCATAGAAAATCAATGATTTGTGCCTCATGCTTGGGGCCTTCTTCTTGGGGGTGCTCTTCTTCTTGGAGGCATATTGGATCGTTTCGGGACGATCTTTGGGGATATGATGGCTTCTTGGGGGTCGTCCTTTTGTTGAGGCCACGTCGGTCACTCTTGGAGCGCTCTTGTGCTGTCTTCTTCGGGGTCTCGGGCGTCTCCCCGGGCCGGGCAAGACGCCCTGCGAGGCCCGGGGGGCCGCTTCGAGGCCCGTCCGGCGGAGGGCCCCAAAGCCCCAGATCCCGGGGGCCCAGTTTTTTTCGGGGGTGGGGTGGGGTGAGGGGTTTTCCCCCCGCCTGGGCTTGTAAACATATTATAAGAAGAGGAATGCATATATATATATATATATATAGGTGTGTGTATGTATGTATGAATATATGAATATATATATATATATATATGTGTATATAAGTATGCATATATATGGTTGTATAGATACATATATATATATATATATATATATATGTGTGTGTGTGTGCGTGTATATATATATACACATATATACATCGATAATCTGACCGTCGGCGCACGAGTCCAGGAGCCCCAAGACGGGAGGCTCCAACAACTCCAACTGCAACCATCGACGTCCAGGGGCCCCCAAGCTCGCGTTCCAGAGACGCGCGCCGCGTGGAAACCGCAAGGGATACGTTCGACAAACAATGGTCCCCGAGCTCCCCCCCCACCGCCACCCCACCCACCCACCTACCCACCCGCACACACACCCACACACACACACACACGCACACACACGCACACGCACACACACGATTCAACAATTGACGAAACTCCAACTACAACAGTGCGTGCTTCACAGGAGGCTTCTTCGTCGCGGCAGCCCGCACTGCGGGCGTAATATCGTTACCCCGAGGAGCGGCGGGATGGCCGCGGAGCGAGCAGCCTCCTGGAGCTGCCGCGCGCACGCGATCCGCCGCCACGTGTCCATCTACGCACACGTTTCGCGGCCCGAGTGGGAGCTCCACTTAAAAGGCCCCCACGTGCAGCACGCGGACACGATTCGGCACACCCCTCGCACATCTCGTAGCCCAGCAACTCCACCTGTGGCGCAGCCCGCTTGCGGTGCGCGGACCTAAGTATTATTTGGCTCGCCCCTCAACAAAGCCCCGGCCATCTCAAGCCCCGGCCATCTCAAGCCCCGTAGCTTGTTCGGCTCAATGCGGCCGCAGCCGCGGCGGCCCCCAGCAGGAGGAGGGCCGCCCGTCGCCGCCACAATAGATCATGGCAATGGCCATGGATCCACGCATCGCCCCCATTCCATTGCCATAGATCCATGCGGATATTGCACTGCACTGATCCATAAATATGGCCATGCCATTGCGTTGCATCTTATTGCTGCGGCTATTGTTAGTTGGTTAGTTACCACCTTCTCCTCATCGTCTGTGCCAGCCCTACAGAGAACATAAGCGAGCCCTTCTGCGCCCTGGCTGCCCTGTTATTCGTTGTTACTCTGATCATTGTAAGACGGTCGGCGGTTGCGGAGGGCCGGGCTTCCGCGTCCAGCCAGGGGGGGGCAGATCTGACCCTGCCAGCTCGACTAGTAGT